GCCGCTACTGTTTAATACTAGAAGACCACCATGTTTAAAGGCTATGGATAATTCATGTCAACTCTCAGTGCTCACCTGAATGGTCCCCTTCCTCCAGCACACATGGCCACACCCAGCTTCTGAGTCTCCCTTGATGCTCACAGGGGCCGGTGACATAGGAAGCCATGTGGACAGGGGCAGAAAGCATTGGGTGTATCAGGCCAGCCTTGGCCAGCATTAACATCCCTGCCTCCCTCTCTTCTCCTATGGATTGACTGAGCGCAGAAGGTGGGCCACAGGGCTCCACAGCCTTGGAGGATGGCACAGCCACAAGACCAAAGAGCCAGGTCCTTACGTCTGGATGTAAACTTAGGTAATACTGAATTTACACAAACAGGAAATAAACTTCAAATGTATTCAATCAATGAGATTTGAGGATTGTTGTTACAGTGGTTTGCCAACCTCAACACGATAGATTTTCAAATACACAGCAGTCCATTCAATATAAAATATTCGATATGGAATCCTAGGTCAAACTTGATCAGTGGTTTGAGATGGGAAATGGCAGAGATGGGTGGGGGTGGTCACTGAAAGTAACAACTAGCCTTAGGTTAGGTTTCAGGTTGAAAAACTGAACTACATAGGGTAAACCTCCATCTCGGACTCTGCACTGGTCCTGATATTAAATATTCTCATTACATATCCCATTTGGGGGCTCAGAGAAAACTTGCCCAACATAGCTAAGTTGAACTTCAACATATTTTAACATGTATTCATATTTCAACATTTGTATTAGAACATATTCTAATGTAAAATACAAAATTGAACCATTTTAGTTTGATTCTACAATTATATTGATTTATAAGGTCAGACTCTCTATGAAGGACCAACCAAAGGGCTTAAGGCACACGAGAGGATTTTCAAATACATCCAGTAGGACACCTCACCTAGCACTTTAAAATGACAAAGCTTATCAAGATGGGCTGTGGAGATCCATCCTGGGAGCCTTTAACACAGCATAGTATTATTTCTTGAAAGTTCACTGGAATCACCAATAGGAAACTTATGACAGGGTGGGTATAAACTGAGAGGGAGGGGCCTATAAAGAAGTAGGGCACAGATAGTTTTAAGGCATTCACCGTCAGTCCCTCAAGACCCCATGTGGGATCTGGGAACAGAATCCCCAGCTTTGCTGCCTTGGTTTAGATGTGCTTCATTAAAATTCACTTAAGCATATGCTGACGTGCACAGGCTCTCTGAATTTTTCTTTTTCTTTTCTTTTTTTTTTTTTTTGGTGCTGGGGATCGAACCCAGGGCCTTGTGCATGCAAGGTAAGCACTCTATCAACTGAGCTATATCCCTGTGGCTCTCTGAAATCTAGGGTCTGGCCTGAATGCTTGCTGAGGTTTGGCATTCTCCTGTGCTACAGGATGAGCACAAGGCAACTGGGGCAGGGGTGGGGAGACTCCCAACACAAAAAGACTGAACTCAGGTAAAAGAGGGAGAAAAACGCAAAGAACTAAAAAAAAAACCTCTCAAAATAAAAAGTTTAATTTGCATTAAGTATAACAATATGCAGTCTACATATGCTCAGAAATACAGCTAAAAAGTGCAAGTGTCAAGAACTATGATAATTTTGAAAATAACCATCTAACTTTTTATTAGATATCTGACCAAGAAGATGCTGTGAGACCTGATATGTCAGGTTTTGTAGATTATTTACATGCTTTTTGCTATACATTCGGGCTTTTACCTGAAATTTCATAAAAGGAAACTTCATTAAAACTAGTTTAAATTCTACAACTACTGAGAACAAAGAAAACCGGTAGAGGTGAACAATTCTCTCATCCAGTCAACAGGATAGCGTGGTCACCAAATGGTGGACTGTGTCTTCTTCACCCCATTTGGTGAGGAAGGCGGCTTTGAGAAGTTAACCGAACAGTCAGGAGAAATGAGAGGAAGTGTTGCGTGGGTCTATGGGCAGGGTATTGGGATCTAGAGTCCCTTTTGCCTTGAAAGAAAATGAAGTAAATGAGTATAAAATGTTAAAATTAGAAAATGGTAGTGAATAATCAAGACAAGCTTAATTATTTCAAACAGCTTCTTAATTTGGATAAGGAGTTCACAGTCCTACATTTTTAAAACAATTTCATTTATTTGTGTTTTACTAATTCACTTTAATGTTATTCCATGTCTTGCTAAAAGCCCGGCAAAATTAAGAAAGGACTCCTAACACATCACTAAAGTAAACTACACTACAAAAGAACCAGAAAGGTCAGGACCTGGGTGTATCCATGATCCACCTGACAGCTGATCTCCAAAGGCAGATAGGAACATGTGCTCTCACTGCCTTTATTCCACAGCATGATGTCATCCGTGCTTCTTGCTAAGTTAGGGAGGTATTCACTCCAGCTAGGTTTTATTGACTTTTAAATAGCTGTCCCACTGCTTTGGAAAAACAGATGGTCCCTCTTAGGATCTTCCAACTTCACAATGGTACACTGGATGGAAAACCCTATTTGGAACTTTCAATGTGGATCTTCTCTTGGGCTAGATGTGGCCACACACTCCCCCACGATGGATGCTCCGCAGTGGCAGCAGCCACTCCGCCCAGGTAGTCACCTAGGCCACGGTGGACACTGACATTCCAGTCACGCTGTCGCTAGGCTGTGATGTTCAGTAGGTCAGGACTGTTTGCTGCACCTTGACACAGGAGTCACTGTACAGTGCTCCTACCAGGAAGTGATCCTGCCCCAAGTCAAGGAATATCTGTGATCATTCTTCCTTCTTGACTAGCTCCCCGCCACCTTTTTTTTTGGTACTAGGGGTTAGACCCAGGGGCATTCTATGACTGAGCTACATCCCTGGCCCTTTTTGAGACAGGGTCTCAAGAAATTATTGAGGCTGACCTCAAACTTGCAATCCTCCTACCTCAGTCTCCTGAGTCCCTGGGATTACAGGAGGGCACCCATCTATTCTTATACATTATTTTCCAGAATGCTTCACTGTACTGGAAAATTAGGACACTGTTCATTCTATAGCCACTGAGGCCCCACTCAAAAAGGGTTTCAGCCCAAATTCCAGAAAGTGCCTGTGAAGCGACCTGCCCACAGCCCTGAGCTTCAGACACTGAGGAAGGTGTAGCCGGGCTCCGGCTTGCCACTCCTTGCACAGAAACGCTTTGACCATGTAGATGACCATGGTTAATTCCTAGCAATCATTCTAGATGCTTCTTGTCTATGGGGAATAGTAGCGAAAATACAAATTCTATAGTTGGTAAGAATTGTTTTTCAGTAACTGGCTTATAACCAGTAGACCTTGAAAACTTTTTTTTTTTTTTTTGTACATACCTGTATTTAAACTGGATCCTCTGAAGATCTATCTATCTCAAGAACAGCATTTTCTTCCTAGGTATGAAAGGGTTTAGAATTACATAAGATTTTTAAGTCTCTATTTAATCAATCTCAACCAGGGATTCTCAACCTTTGATAAGTGATGAGCCTTTTAAAAACCATCCATTGCTGGCTCACTGTTATGGATAAATTTCTATTTTCCCAGTTCATTTGTATAATCATGGACTATGCTTACATTCTGAGGGAATGGCAGGGGGCACAACCACCTGGAAACTAATAATGCAAGCATTTCGGACAACTTGGCCAGGCCCTTCCACGCTGCACCCGTCACAAGCAGAAAAGCACCCCTACTTGTTTCTTCCCTGTGCCGGTGTCAGCAGGTCCCCAAGAGAAGCTGGGGGACAAAGGAGCCTGCTGCCCAGTCTCAGGTGTTTGCCAAAAATGCCAATTTTATTGCCCTTCCCTCTGCCTGTTTATTCCCAAGGTCACTCACCCAGGAAGTAAAGAGGGCCGTGCCCTTTAGTCCTCCCTTGTCCTAGCAGTGCAGGTGAGTTACTCAGGAGTTAGCCAGGAATCCATGAATTCTTAAACTCTGGCATATTTCTAAAACAGGCTGAGAATTCCTGGTGTAGCCAAAAATTATGTGGTCTTAAAACATTTTGAATTTAGTATTTTAGCCAGAAAAAAAAAAAAAAAGGATTTAATTTCATTCAAAAATTTCTAACAATTAGTATTTGTAAGAAAAAAAAAATCATGACAAGAAATACATTGTACTGCAGCACTACAGCATGCAAAAGAGTTCTCAAGAAGAGAACTGTGAATATATTCTAAAATTACTTGACTAGGCAATTAAAATCATTCTGACCACTACATAAATAAAATTTACAGAGGTAAAATATATAACCTGAAGACAAATTTTCCTTTTAATATTGAAAATGTTGGTACGGCTATGAATGCTTAAATTTCCCAGTATAAGAAAGCTGATCCTTAGAACACTCAGCAACGTGAGTGTTGAAAAATATCAACAGTTTCTTTTCATTCCCAGTCTTCTCCATTGAAGAGGCTGCACTCAGAGGTAGCACTCCGTAAGGCCACAGTGAGCACATCTGGCTTGAGAGGTTGCTGCACCAACAGACCTGAGGCCTACGGTGGGGGGAGAATGATTCCTAAAATATAACACTCCTAAATGAGGCAGAACCTCAGGGATCAGCAGGACTACAGCATCAATTTTCTATCATTTTTCATCCAGCTTAAAGCAGAATTGTGCATACATGTGAATCAGACTGAGCTCTGCATTATAAATAGATATAGACACACATACACATTGACACAAACTCAAAGGGATGATGGTGACTCAATAACCCATCTGGTTTGTCAATTTCTGCTCAGTGTGAAAAAGCAAACTTGTCCTGAACATTCAGTAATAAGCTGATATCCTCCAGAGATCTGGATAACCTGCCCCTTGGAGCTGCAGAAAAGCACCATCTAGTGCTCTTGATATCAACATGTTCTTGGTCCCTGAAGTTTCTGGAACACACCATTGAGGCACTGGGACCTCAGAGCCAGATTCTCTCAAAAAGACTCACAGAGGCAGTTTACAACACTCTGCCAACTATGTGACTGTATGTGAACCTAAAGTCTTTACAAACTTTAGACATGAACAAAACACACACACAAATTACTTTATTTTTAATCAAAAGATGAATCATCGTCACTGTAGTGAGCATAAATCCATGAGTCAGAATAGCATGCAATTTTTTATTATTTTCTAAATCTATTTGTACACTTAATACTCCAGTATTAATTTCACGAACAATATAAAGAATATCCTCCCCAGTGACAGTAAACTGCAACCACTCACCTAAAAAGGAACAAAACTCTGCCTCTGAAATATTTACTAATTACACAATATTGAAAATGAATAAACACTGTAAATGTTAAAATATTAAAACTTTAACATGTCTGCCTTTTTAAACATTTAAAATCTTTGTTAAAAGATCATGCAGAATAAACACTTCATGAAAATGCTCCATGACACTCAAACATCAAGGCAATGAAACACAAAAAAGCAACTATCTGCACAATGACTGGGCACATAAATAATTTAATCAGCATAGCATATTAATAAAATTGATTAAGTGATAAACATCACAAATATAACACTAAATCTAGGTCACGCATCTGTGATCTCACCATCTACAATCCTGTGACTTAGGATCTACTGCCAGATTAATTCTCCATAAAGAAGTTATGTTAAACCGACAAAAAACTCATAATGGCCTACTTATACTACTATGGGTACTGTTGGCTCACTTTCTTGTCAATTTTTAAAGCCCTTCTTGTTATATATTATATGGTTCTACTTAAAATTTAAACTTCTTTGATAAGCAATTTGACACTATATAGAACACTGATTCTCAATCTACTAAGTATTCCTTCACCTTTAATATCTGGGATACTCTAAAATATGTAAATTCTTTCCTAGATTAAACCCCTTAAAAACAAAATTTGCTTTTCTGCTTCATCTAACAGCATGATTTTCCTTAAATGTTTGATGAATGAATGTTCTACAAAAGGGAGCACTAGTTTTTTCTTTTGCAAATTAAGCCCTTTAAATTCAATAAAACATTTCTGATCTATCTTTATAGCATGATCTTGTCTCAAAAAGTTTTATGGAGTTATGTGCCAACAAAAGACTTTTAAAAGTAAGGTTTTATGCTGCTAAATATAGAGACAATAGAGGCTGGCTGGTGAACTGCCATTTCTTAGGTGTCCTCTGTTGTAAAGCACATACTTCTTTCACCAAAGGCTTGACCACCTATTAACCTATTATAATGAAATGCATACAGGTGATGTACATGATGGTTTCAAAATATAGGACAATTTTGTTATAAGTATAGTAATACTATTCCACTTTTCCTTGCTTTTCTTAAAGAATGCTTTCTCTTTCTTCTCCGAAACCTGTACTATCAGAAGGTGCCACTGTATGGAGCTCTGGAGAATCTTTCGAGAGCCTTGTGTAACTTGAACGCTGGCTACGCTTGTGTGTCATGCTTTTTAGATTTTCATTCTGAACAGCAGTTGGGTTGGGACTGGATCCAGGCCTCAGAATGACTTGAGAAGTCTCCCTCATTCCCTCCATTTCATCAAAATTTTGATTGGCTCTATTAGCTGGAGCAGTGTTGTTGTTCAGGGTCATGGTACTCGGGGTTCGATTCAGATTATAGGTCTTCTGGCACGCAGGCCAGCTCTCTTCAGGGCTGCTAGCTATCAGGCTACATTCAGAAGGGCTTTTCTTGTCTTCTGAGCAAATGGACATCCGAGCTATAACTGGATCTTGCAGGCCACTCAAACTATGTGGTATTCCCCTCTTCCCACTATGACTGTCATCTTCCAGCTCGATGAGGTTTGCCTTTTCAAGCTGAGAATCATCAGCTGCTTCATTGTGCAGAGAGTGATTGGGAGAACTTTCGTTGGATCTCACTCCTGAATCCGATGAATCCTTTTTGTCAAGGAGGGCATCAGATAAATATTCCTTAGCTTTAATGAAGGTTCTGATTGGCTCCGTGCTGTGTTCTGGAGACTTAGATGCTCTCTCTGCTTTGCCTTCAGCTTTTTTCTCTTTGTCATCTTTAAGCAGTGGAGTATTATCTGATTCTTCTGCACCAGATTCATCTTCATCACTTGGAAGTTTCTGATAGCGCAGTCCACTTCCCTTAAGCTTCAGATCTGTCTGGAAGAGACTGGACCTTTCTGAGGATTTCTTGCCTAGAAGTAGCTTACTACCCGACTGGTCAGATTTTTCATCCTCTTCAGTAATAGGATCCAGGGGCGAGGCATCATTAGTGGAAACCCCTGATGATGAATAATCTATAACGTCCCCCCTCTTCATTAAAAATGATTTCCTCCCATCCTCTTGCTTTGGCTCACTTTCCTTCCCCTTTTCTTGTTCTAGATTAGAATGAATAGAGCCCCCTGATGAACTCTGACCCATGTAATACGTGCTATGTGGAGAAGATCTGCCACTAATTGTTGTAGACCCTGTGCCCCCTTCTAATTGGGACATTTGAGCAATATATTCTCTATATGCATCTCTATACTCGGCCTGCACCTTATCAGTAAGCTTTGAAATTTCAATACTGGAATCCTGGGAATTGAGACTCGAAAGACTTGGGGTTCTGCGAGTTTGTGACTGTGAAGACAGAAAAAAAAAATTAAGAATTCAAATAAGCAAAAAAAAAAAGAAAAAAAAAGAAAAAAGAAAGACATAACACATCAGCTTAGAAAACATATATATACAATAACAATTTTAAATCATCAAAATACCAAGTTCTTTTAAAAGAACTCTACCTAACACGTTAACAAAAGTGTGAACTTACGACTGATTCTACTGTTATTAGGAAGTTTTATGCAAATTTTAATAAAAGTAATTTATCATTAATATTTAAAAGTATAATTAAAGTTTATATTAACAAATAATATTAGCATTTATTTTCATAATGTTACATTTTCAAATTTTATTTCAGGTAAAGTCACCTCACTGATAAAAACTCCTCTTGGAAGAAAGAAGGACAATGAGAGTTAAGACATATCTCAAGACAAAACACTTGCGTCTTCAAGGCATGATAGAAGGAACCTGCCTCAACTTGTGAGACATGGAAGTTTCTGTCAAATTTCAATCCAGAGGAAGAAAATGTACTTCAAATGCCAAAGGGGAAGGATTTAAAAGGAATAGAGTGTAACAGAGAAGACAAAGATTTCTAATAACTGCAATGAAAGCCATGAGGCCAGAAGCTGGGCCCTAGTCAACACAGAAAATGAAATAATTTTAAAAGTCTGACTTCCAAAATAAAGTTTTGGGATTAAAATTGCTTTAGATCCCACGAAAGCTAATAAATGAGCAATCTACAAAGTACAGACTAGGAAACAGCAGTGGGCTATGGAAGAAGAGGCATCACAAGAGTTTAGAAAGGGGCAAGAGCAAAGCCTGATCCTGGACAAGAAGCAGGGCAAAGCCTGCTCTGTGGAAGGTCCTGGACCCTTGAGAGGGCTCCGGACACTGTCAGACAGGAAGGACAGTGCCATCCTCCATCCACAGTACAGCTGTTCCCAAAGGCAGAGTGTGGCCCCTGACAATGCTATCTCCCCCACCCACCTTCATCCTCCCAAGAGCGCCCACGGAGCTGCCAAACCTCATGCAGGAGACATAACAGTACTCAAGGCAGCAGCACTCAGGGGACCCAATGTTCTTCTACGAAGCCAGGCATTAAAGAGATGCGCAAAATAATCCCATTCTCACTAGATTTTGTTTTGTTTTGTTTTGGAAAACAGCCATTCTTCAGAAAAATATTAATTATCTTAACATGTATTTAGTTTATTTTTAAATAAATTAATAAATATTTAGAAAAAAATTTGGTTTATATTTTTAACACAATAAATATTTATAGTAAAACATATAAACAAAATTCTTTGGGGTCCTCGATGATTTTTAAGAGTATAAAGGGATCCTAAGAACACTTTGAGGACTGCCGCATGAATGGGAAACAAAGAACTTTCCGGGTAAAGATGGAAATACCAGGAATAGTAGAGCTGAGGCTGAGATTTCTTAAGAAGTTTTAAAAGGAATCCTAGGGAAACGAAAGGCACTATTGAAACACAGATAAAAGAATAAAATGTGGGCTTTGTTTATTATAAAATACATAATTTTACCTGTGTTAATATTCAATAATAAAATGGTTTCTCAACTTAAATAAGATAAAAAGAAGAAAAAGGATGAAAAAAGTATTTTTACTACTAAACAAAACACTCTTAAGAATGGTGGCCCTGCCAGGTACTGCTCTTCCTGAACACTACTCCCTCGTCAGCAGAGGTTCCTTATGATTTTGCTGTTTTCCTCCCTTGCCAGCTTCTGGACCCTGCTGTTTTCCACTAGTTCCTCTTCTTATTCTGCTTACTCCTCCTCCTGGGTCTCTCACTTGTATTTCAGTTCTTGCTTCTCACCTGTCCTCCCTTTTCTAAGACTATCCCAAGGGAGATCTCACTTATGTCCAACAGCAGGTGACAAAGGGCAGACAATACCCACAAGGAGTGTGTGTATCCTGGAAAATCAGATTATAGGCTGGGTTCACTGGGAGGACGGGGCTAACTGTCAATGAAGATGTGCTTCAGGCAACGATGAACTGCCCTCCCAGGAACACAGCAAGGGAAAGGCGAATCTGCAAGCACCCTCAGCACTGCAGCCCAGTCCTTCTTACTCTCCACACCATCGCCCTACTTTATTTTCACAGTTCTTGTCAATTTTTGAAACCTCTTATTTTTCCCTATTTTACTGAATGTCCCTTACTAGGTGAACACAGCTGCCTGAGAGAAGGCACTCCTCTATCTTGCCCACTTGGGTACTCATTAAGCATTTTCAGAGGTGACTCTATTAGCATACTACTGTATTCTCAGTGAATCAAATACTGCCCTTATTCTTCAATATTATGACATATGCCATGCAGTAAATACCTGCCAACTTAGATTACTGTGACGCGGGGCGCCTTCATCTAGACCAAGTGTGTTCAGTTCTTCAAAGCTGAAGTTCAGTGTGTAAGGAGTCTGATTGGAAAGTTCAGTATGAGGCAATTCGCTGTGTGAAGACCGACGAGCAGATTCCCCATGAGGAATCGGAGCACTGGTGTTTTCATTAAGAAAACGGGGGTCTTCAGGGACCACTTGGTTTTCTGCATTTCTCATTTCTAATACCTTAACAGAAGAAAAGACATCATGTCTACATTGACAAATCACAATTAAAAGCTTTACAAATAGTTTTAAAAAATATAACAATATAAAGATATAACGGGAATGAGAAGGCACACATACTCTAAGTGAATTTCTAATGAATTTGTACTTTAATTTAATAACACTGAAAGAATGGCAGAAATCATCTAAAATATATACAGTTCTTACTCTTAATTTGTCCATTATATCATTAGTTTAGTTAAAAATCTGAGAGCAAAATGAGTTGCACAAAATGCAACTGGAGTGTGTCAAAGAAACCCAGAGCTGGGGTGTAGTCAAAGCATTAAAGGTAGATTTCAATCAGAAACTATTGCAGTGAGGAAGACGGCCTCAGTCTAGAGCTGGCTCATCACAGCAAGGCCAAGTGGAAATTCACAGCCAAGGAGCAGGGAGGGTTTGGTTGTAAAGAGGATTCTGACTCAACAGATTTTACAGAATGCTTGATGAAGGCAGGGGAGGGGAGGTTGGTAGGCAATGAGGAATCTGATCAGATACCAAAAGCAATCACATGTTGAGGCCAGGGGTTCCTTCTAAACCAATTAACAGGGATTCTTGCTAGAACACAGCCAAGTAGGCCTGGTAATGCTGGACACTGAGGGTTGAGGCCTGGAGGGCACATAGGGGCCTGATTAAGTAGGGAAAAATGAAGGAACTTTGGATTGTGCAGAGGGGAGGGAGGGGAGGGGTGGGGCTGTGGGGATGGGAAGGACAGTAGAATGAGACAGACATTATCACCCTATATACATGTATGATTACACTACTGGAGTGACTCTGCACCATGCACAGCCAGAGGAATGAGAAGTTGTGCTTCATTTGTGTACAATATGTCAAAATGCATCCTACTGCCATGTATAACAAATTAGAACAAATTAAAAAAAATTAAAAGTCCATGTTAGTTAAAAATAAATAAATAGAAACAGAGAGAGAGAGAGCGAGAGAGAAAGACAGAGACAGAGACAACAGACAGACACACACACACTTTGGCAAGTGAAAACATGGAGAGTTGGAGAGTAGTCTCTTCCTCAGATTTCTGGGAGAAATGCCCCAAAAGGCAAAGATTGCCACATACTGCTGTGTGTACTCTACATAACACAGGATGTTACACAAGTATAAAATTCAATTAAAAACACTTTTTGTGTAGTGTTGGGACTTGAACCCAGGGCTTAGTACATGCCAGGTTAGTGTTCTAGTGTTTGGGTGCACCCCCAGCCCTTTATAAATTTTATTTTGAGACAGTGTCTCAATAAATTGCCTAGGTTGGCCTGGAACTTGTAATCCTCCTTGCCTCTGGCTCCCCAGTAGATGGGATTACAGATATCACCACCACACCAGTTTAGGCCAGTGCTTGTTGGTTCTGGTTTTATACAATGTTGTAAATAATTTAATGTTTTAATAACAGTGTTATCCATATCATAATAAATATCTTACTGTGCTTCTGAAAAGGTGCCAGTCTCCAAAATTCATACTCATTTCTTTCTTCAGTTCATCAATATTACACTGAGCTAATACTCGGCCATTTATGTTTGCCTGAGTAAAAATAAAATCAAGTATAAAGACAAAGTGTAAAATATTCTGAATCACTAGTGATTAACAAGTACTCTTATATTTGGTTTTAGAGTCATTAAAGACTACAAAGGTTGACCTCTAAAAGGTTATCATCCACAAGATAGTAACAAACAAGCTGAATTTGCATAACAAAAGCCACTCCATCTTTTCCCAAGTGTCAAACATTCAAATAAAACATCACCCTTCAGAGATCACCCACACGCTAACTCTCCCAGCTAACTCCAAAACTATTTACCCTGCCATGGGTAGCAAGAAAAATGTTAGGGTATATATATAAATGTAACCGTGGAAAATCTGACTATATCTGGACTTGGTTGACCTCAGATAGGAGATGACTTCCCTGCAACCCCAGGAATCATCAAACTGTGTGGCAGAAACAGGATCTCAAAAGAGACTTCCATGAATGCATTAGCCTTGCAAGTCCAAAGCTACATGCTTTCATTCATTGTGACAGGATCATAAATCTTATATGTCACAAAAATGTGAAGTTGTGGGAAATGTGTTGCTAGTGTGACCTACTCTGATAATTATTAAATATACAAATATAATTATAGGCCGAGTATTCTTATCCAAAACACTTTTGACCAAAAGTATTTCACATTTCAGAGTTTCCAAATTTGGGAATACTAGCATGGGCTTTTGGCATTGAGTAGTCCTAACCTGAGAATCTGAAATCTGAAATGTTCTGAAATCTGAAACTTATATTGATCCCCATGTCCAAGAAGCTTCAGACTTCAGAGGATTTGGGATTTTGGGTTTTTAGGTTAGGAACACTTCAACGGTTATTCTCAAGCCTCATGGGAAAAGATGTTCACCTAAATGTGCAGTCCTCTAGAGCTTTCAATTTCTCATCAAGGCATTTTTTTTTTTTTACTTATTTTAGGGCATTTAAAAAAAAATAGCATTGTAACTCAGCTACTTTCTTTTGTCCATTTGTAAAATAAGAGCTAAAAGGGTAATTTTAGGACACAAAATCATGGCTCCTGCTTTTCATTTACAGCCTTCCTATTTCAGCAGATAGCCCCTCTTTGAGGCTTGGTTTGAAGTACGCCCGCCCGTTCAGGGCCTTGTCTTCCACACCCACAGGCCGTCTCCATTGGGCATAAGGATGCGCGTATCACCTTTTTGATGGTAGCACAGTACTGAGGCAGCATGCTCTGGTCCAGCCCTTCTATTTGTTTCAGTTTCTCACATACTGCATCCACATTCATGGAATTCAATGACAGCACGGTTCCTGTGCCTGGGCCTGATCCCTAGATAGGTCAAGGAAAAATGCATGTATGAATACCATCTAATGCCAGATACATGAGGTCATGTGACAGAAAAATCATTCAGTTACATTTCTGAAATAAACACAACAAATGCATGTAACATGGTACGGAAACACCACTGGGAACAGATTTAGCTACTGTTTTACCTTAACTAGTAGCTTTTATTATAGCAGACACAGCCTGATCAAAACCACTTTTCTAAACTAGAATATGGCCTACACCAAGTTCTCCAAGGTTTATAGCCTATTCTCAAGAGAGAAGGGTCTTCAATAAGAGAAAGGACAGCTGGTTATAGTGGTATACGCCCATGATCCCTGCAACTCTGGAGGCTGAGAAGGGAGGATCACAAGTTCAAGGCCAGCCTCAGCAATGTAGCAAGAACCTGTTTCAAAATAAAAAGGGCTGGGGATGTATGTGGCTCAGTGGTAGAAGAGTGCCCCCTGGGTTCAATCCCCAGTACTGCAAAAAGAGGGGTGGGGAGAGAGGCGAGAGGTTAAAAGGAAAAAAAACATGAAAAATTAGTGATGCTTATATTATAGGACTACAAAAGATCAAGGGATCTAAAACTTTCCCTTCTAGAATATTACAATGATCACGTAACTCTCAACAGTATTACTGCTAAACACATGTGAAAGTAAATAGAATCTAGAGCTGTTCTCATTTAAAAAGAAAAGTCAAAATAATAATTCTAGTGCTCAGATGAAGGAAAACATCTGTTGTGATGACATACTATGGACTCGCCTGTGGTGCTCCCTTCAATTGTGGTTATGCACATGGAGGCCCAGGAGCAGCATAAACAGCGCTGGATTTGGACCAGAACCCAACTGATGAGGTTTTATAATTTCCTATTTTCTTTCATACAACTATTTTTGAAGATGTTTTGGGAACTATAACCATAATACAGAGAAGATAAACCAACTGATATAAAGGATAAAGATAATGGCATTTCAAAGAATCTTCCTGTTTACTGTTCAATCTAATCTTCAAATGATAAATAAGGTTTAGCATATCCTCAAGGGTATATTAATTTATTAATATTTTCTACTGCTTTTATCAGTATCTGGACAAAAAGTAGACTACTGCGTAGTTAAAAATGCCTGTTAGGCACTTGATAAACATTATTTGTCATGTGAAAACATAACATAGTATTCTTACTACTAACTGACAAATACATATACACACAGTATAGATACAGCACATGCAAATATTACATATAAGCATAAATACAGCCAGGGAAGCAGACGCTATTGAATAGACAGTTGGACTAGTAATTTTCTAAGTGTTAGGAAGTCTTATCAAGTTTATGAAGTATTTTACAGGCTCATAAAAGTTTATAAATTAATAACCTAGAATACACATTTCTCTAGACACATTTACTTAAGTTTGTTTTAAATTGATTACAAATTTAAAATGTTCCATATATTATACTGTCCAGGGCTGAACTGCTTTTAAAATATGAATGGCAAAACACTAGTTCTTCCATAATTTAGTTTTAATATCTCTATACAGAGTTCTGTTTTCTGCCTTGATGAGTACAGCCAATATTCAAAGTGTTAACTGTCTACTATCTACTATGGCAATATTTTCTATGGATTTTTAGTGCCAAACTTGTTTTTTAAATTTTTCTTTTAAACAGCTTTACTGAGAAATAATTCACATGCTATATAATATTCTCATTTAAAATATTCAATTCAATGATTATTAGGTTAATATTTATATCACTGTGAACCATGACTACAATTTTAGAACATTTTCATTACATGCAATATTTATTCTAGAAATTTTATACCAGCAGAATCCTATGTGACCTTTTGTATCTGACTTCTTTTTCTTACCATGATGTTTTCAGGGTTCATCCATGTTGCAACATGTAACAATCAATATTTCATTTTTTTTATTGCTGAATAATATTTACTCTGTGTGTGTGTGTGGTACTGTAGATTGACCCAGGGTGCTCTACCATCAAGCTACATTCCTAGCCCTTATTTTTAGATTTTAATATTAATTAACTAATTCTAATTAGGTATATATGACAGCAGAATGCATTTTGATTCACTGCATACAACTACAGCACAACATTTCATTTCTCTGGTTGCACACGATGTAGCGTTGCACCATATGTGCAGTCATACATGTACCTAGGGTAATGGTGTCCAACTCATTCCACCATCTTTCTTGCCCTCACCCTACCCCATCCTCCCCTTTGCCCAACCAAAATTCCTCCATTCTTCCCATGCCCTCCCCCTGATTATGGATCAGCATCCACTATCAGAGAGAAGATTTGGCCCTTGGTTTTTGGGGATTGACTTACTTCATTTAGCTTGATCTTATTCTTAAAGTTTGAGACAGGGTCTTGCTAAATTGCCAAGGCTGGCCTTTTTTGATGCTCCTGCTTCAGCCTCCTAAAATCCTGGGATTACAGGCATGTGCCACCACTGTATGACTACACTTATCTTTTAAATAATCTTTAATTCTGTCTTTCAAATGATTTTATTCCTCAACCTGTTTCCTTGCTCTGGATACATTTGCTTTTTTTGTTGTTAAAAAAATCACAAAAGAATAGTTTAAGCAACATAATAAATGATTGTTGTGCTGGATTATAATTCATATATGAAATAAATATTCACACTCCCTACTGATATAATACTTAATACTTTTAGAAATCCAATTAATAAATGTGAAGAGAGAAGCAGAAAATGACCACCAGTCAAACATCACAATAATGGAGGTTGTACTCAAGATCCACCAAAGGATGTTCAAAATCATGGGTAAGAATAAATAGAAACAGGACATTTTTGGAGTTTCCAAGTATCTACTCCAAAATATTTGTTAATATGTAAAGAAAATATAAAGCCTTACAGTGTTGAAACCTGGTGGATGTCACCTCAACCAAGTGACCCAGGTTAGCTTTCCCAGTGGCAAGGCTTGTGAGTGTCAGGAACCCTCTACCATGAGGCACTGGGAGCCATTTTGTGGTCTTCTTGCCATGCACAACCTCTTTCCAACCATGCAGAAACATCAGAGAAACTCAAATTGAGGGAGGCCCTATAAACTAACTGACCAGTATTATTCAAAAGTGTTAATAAATGTTATGAAAATGAGGTAAGATCAGAGAACTATCACAGATTAGAGGAGACCAAGGAGAAATAACAGAACATAACTGGAGAGGCTCCTGACCAGAAAATAATATAAGTGGAAAAACTGATGAAATGCCAGCAAGTCTTGGTGTAGTACATAGTATTGTACTAATTTTAATTTCTGCCTCTGATAATTGTGGAATTATAAAATTCATTAATATTAAGGGTATACCATTTTTACATCTTTTCTTTAGGTCTAAAATTATTTTTATAGTAAAATATTGTTTAAAAAATCCCAAGAGCGACCTGGGGACATAGCTCAGTGTTAGACAATGTATGAGGCCAAATAAAAAATTCCAAAAGAACTCTCTTTCAGATTAAGCTAAGACAGACAAGTGTAACAGAAATAGACCATATTAACTCTGTCAACTAGGGTAAAAAGTATAAAATGACAGACATACATGCAGAATAAGATTCCCATAATTCCATCAAAACTACAGTCTGACTTTTGATTATCTATTTATATAAAGTTGGGCTTTATCAAGGGAGAAATTATCAATTAGCAAAACTGTGTTATAATGTTTCTTTGAATAAAGAAAAACCAGTAATTACCTGCCAGGTCTTTTTTCCTAAAATAATCATAAATGATAAAATTATTTTGAAATCAAATAAATCTTATAACCAAAATAATGATTTTTGGATAGAAATTCCATTTTTTAAAAAAAGGAGAAAAGAGTATAAAAGTGATAAGGAAATAACAAAAAGCATATTCAATAATTCAGTAGGCAAAATTTTAATAGAAACTAAATATATTACTTTCCAAATACAAAAAATAACTCAAATGATATATTTTAACATTTACCATGCATTCTTACTTAAAATTTACCTATTATAAGTAAAAAACAGATCACTTTGGCATATTGATTTTATAAAGGAGAATTTACTTTTTAAAATATTTTCTAATTTGGGGACTGGGATTATGGCTGGGTGGTAGAGCGCTTGCCTCACATGTTTAGGCCCTGGGGTCGATATTCAGCACCACAAATAAATAAGCAAATAGAGTGAAGGTGTTGTGTCCATCTACAACTATAAAAAATATTTTTAAAAATTTTCTAAATTGTAAAGTGCAATGTAGCAAATGTTAATTTAAACTGTTAAATATAAACTTCAAAATGTGAACAAATTAGAATTTCTCCAGGTATAAATAAGCAACAAAATATTAAAATTATTTTTGGGTAAATGTTTCATTTTATATTGTAAGTAGATTAAAATTGTACTCTGAAATGTTATCATCTTTGGTAAATTCATTAAATGAGCTTAAAATTGATTAGGCAGAAATGAATGCCATGCAAAGGCTGAAAGCAACTGTTAAAATACAACCGAGGTACCAGAACAAGCAGAGGTTTGTTAACAGCCAAGCATGAAGAGGCCAGTGACTGCTTTTAATAGTCTAGTAAGGAGAGAAGGAAAGCTCACTCAGAGTTGCTGTACCTGTCTCTGTCTGTTAAACCCAGAGTCACTCGGCTTTAAGGAAGGAATAAAACAGAGTGAAGGACACGAGGACAACATCACAACCACAAGCACTGTGAACCCAGGCAGCACCCTTGGCATGCCTCATATTTCCCCTGCACTTTGAACAAACCACCCCGACAGCATCACAGAGCAGATGATGCATACATGCGTGCACATGCGTGCGCGCACCCACACACGCTTATTTTCATTAACATGCACCTGGTAATTTTAAAGTTATAAAATTTCTCAAAATTTTTTTCTATTTTCTATTTAAAATTCATATTTTCTATTATTAATCATGTACCATATAGTCAAAAAGAAAACTGGGAAATTAAATCTGCTATAAAAAGTCAATATTCCTCCTATATATAAGCTTAGAACTTAAAAACATTT